TCAAAAATTTTGATTTTTCAAAGGGGTGTACCCGGTGTAATACAACTAGTATAAACATTCAGCTCGCAGGATACCAGTATTTATGCCAAAAAGAAATAAATTTATATGATTTCAAATTGGAAATTTCTTGAATTTCCTTTTATCTATGAAAATGACTGTTCCTGTGTTTGTCAATGTGACCATCGATGATTCTGGATGATTTGTCGTATGCTTCTAAATATAGGCATATGTATAACAGTTAGATACAAGTGATATCACCCTGTTTGAATTTTGGGATTGACATAGAATTCCCAATCTATATATTTTTGAAGATATTACGAAGGAAAATGACAGAAAAAAATATTCATGGCGCCATGAATAACCATCATGGCATAAAGTTAGCGTTGACGTCTGAGTATTTTAATTAAAAAACAACAATCAAAATCCACGTAGCAAAACAATATCTTGAACATTTGTTTAGCTTGATTTATGTAAGATACAGTTTACTCGAGTAAGGTGTTTCATTACTTAGATTAAGTTTGTAACTTTACTAACAGCTGATAATGAATTACCGCTTCAGTCTTCAGTCGTTGGGTATTCCAGCATCACAATCAAACAGGGTCGTATTGTTTGTTTGTTTTTGTTGCTGTTTTTTTTTGGGGGGGGGACGGGGAATTATGTACACAATCATTGAATTTGATTCAAGAAATTAAAAAGAATAGGATTATATATTTGCAAGTACCAACGTCAAAGATTTAAATAAAACAGTCTTGTTAAAGGCACGTTATGCCCTTTTCTATTTTAATTCTTATAAAAAATAAGAACTATTTTAAGGTGCACTGAACGTGCAGTAATGTGTTATGATGGTAGAAAAATGTAAACAATGTAGTATTTTAAAAATGATAATGCAATATGATTATACCCTTTGCAAAAATTGAAATTTTGAGAAATAAAATTGAAAATAAAAATGCCATAAGATGATTAAAAAAGGGAAACATAATTGTGTATTGCAAAAAAAAATCTACTTTTAAAATAAAGTTAAAGCTATTGAAATGTTGTTTTATTTTAGTTCTAAATGCCTGTCATAAGCCTTTAATTACTTTCTTTATCTTCTTTTTTTTCGTCCCGTCTTTCAGGTTTTCCAACATTATTTTGCTATTTTGGCATTTACTACTTGAAAACTTCTAAATACTCTATACATGTCTCTTCATGCTTTTGTTTTATCGAACATGTAATTATTTAAAATTGTTTTTTCTTTTTTCTTTTTTTTTCTTTTAAATTCAGATTTTTAATAATAAATTCAAAATTGTTCCACCTCGTTGAAATGCACTCTTTTAAACGACATGATTGTATATTCAGTGATGTAATGCAATAAAACCGGTTGGTCAACTTTTGAAGTCTGCCTCACGAGAGGTAAGGTTGAGTAAACAAAACGAATACCACTTTGCACATTGTGAGTTACTTACCGTAAGTCTACTCCAGCGTTACTTGAGGCGACCTTTCGTGAGTTTGAGTCGAGATTGAGATTAAGTATCGTTTCTGAATACGGGCCCATACTATTCTAAATGCAGTAGCCTTACATAGATCAAGTAATTGAGTGCCGCGTGAATTGTATGTTTTGTCCTTTGAGGCCCGGCTAACAATAACACTCAGGGTCAATATCTGGTACAAAAATATCACATACAATATAGCCTGGGTTTAAGCCTACTCTGGCATTATAATCGCAAGCCAATAGCGCTCTTCCTGACTGCTCGTATTCATATATCATTTTGTAGGGTATCTCTACTGAATGGGCAAATATATAACTAATTATTATATGAAACGAAAAGCTCCTATACGTCTTGGTGTACATTTATGAGTGCATTCTTTTTTGTCTTTTCATTTGTGTCACTTTTCTCTTTAATTTTTGTTATGAAATTATGCTTTGTATCGTTTTTATACGCATAACCAATTTGCAAAATTCCTAATGACGTTTCCTTTAGTTTTCTTTATTTTTACAAAGACAGTGTAGGAAAATTTGAAGTAGTGAAGAGGAATTTCTTAAATTTTGCGTGATTTAAGAGAATCATAATTTTAAAATTATGAAAATGTAAGAGTCATTGTCCTTCTTGTTAAAACATCTGTCCCTGAAAGCGAGTTTTTGCGTTTTATGCCATTCCCATGAGCAGATTTGTACTAAATGGCAACCTTACAACCCAGACAGTAAGAGTATCATTTATTTTATGCTTTTTAGTGAATTACTGATTTATCCGTGAAAATTATATTTGATAATTTCACAGTGAAAATTATCAAAATATAATTTCACTTTTTTCAATGACGAAACTACTTTTTTAAGATTTTCCCCATGTGGTACCTCAATTTTATTTTTACTGACAATTCTGACAATGTCAGGCTGTTAAAAGAAATAGCAAAGCTGAAATAGATAAATAACTTAAATGTCAAAAGTAATAAAGAGAGAAAACTTACTTCTATTAATTCAAATTCCAATCACCAAATTTCGTCTCTAAATTTTTTTGTTTCGTTTTTACAGTCTGAAAAAATACATTCCTTCCCCATGCAAAACTGCTCTTGATGACATTTGGGCATATTAAAGTATCCTACGAGTAATTACTGCCGTATGCTTTATGAAAAATTGAAAAGCATTGACAGCCATCACTCGTAGAATAAGTGAAACAACCCAGCGTTCCTTAGCAAGCTTCCAAGTTTTCCATTTTCCTAGCTCCTTTTCTGAATGTTTTCACTTCTGTCAACACTTATTTTTTGTATGTTACAATCCTCAAATAAGTTTTCTTTCTTTTAAAAAGGTGTATGACTAACAAATCCAAATTATATCCCTCTGAATCTTACACAATTATTTTCCTCCCATGAAATACACAACTTTAAAAAAATGGCTGCCGCTTACATTTTACAAAGCCAGGTCTAATATAAATTCGCAGTAAGTAACAGAAATATGGATGGATGGTTGGACTTTTTCTCCTACAAGAATTGTTTGTTTTTATTATTAAAACAAGCGATCATTCATATTTTTTTAATAAAATGAATAAATATCACCGTCATTTAACCTTGATTGGCGGACTTATTTTTCAGCTAGAGACTTCTTGTTTTTAATGAGAAATTCCGTCTAAATGGGGCTCTCAATGGGGGAAACAGATTTTAATATTAACGTTAAAATTATGGAAATTTCGTTTTAACTTGTTTTTAAGCATAAAATAAAAAGAAAATTTGTCTGTTTGTTGTGTAAGATGTAATTTTATTTCATCTCGTGAACTTTAAAAACAGTATTCTCACTCGTGGCTACGCCACTCGTGAGAATACTGTTTTTAAAGCCCACTCGATGCAATAAAATTTCATCTTACACACAAACAAACAAATATCCTCTATATCTTCAAGCACGTTCGTAAATATAACTAAGAATTAAAACGATTTTACTTACCTAATATCGAGAAAAATTTTTACTACTTATAAGTGATTTATATTCTATATAAATTTTACTGCTACAGTGTCTCATGTAAATATTACTTAAAAATGGTTAATAACTGCTTACCTCTTTCCTGTCTATATCACATGCAGTTCATATCGTTCATTATTCTTTAATATTTATATTCCTAAATTTTCAATTTCAATTTTCGAATAATAAACGTACCGTTTCTATTCGGAGGTGAAGGTAGATGTCATGATTGTTTCACTTTTGACTACTTAAATTATGACCGATATGACAAAAATGGGGAATATCATCGAACAATGATATGCTTTAGCTGCATGAATATCATAATATTATTGCACAGTTTCCAATTTTTAAAGCGTTTGAGCTTTGTGATTGTCATAATTGTAGTTTAAATCCCAGTAAGAGCTGTCCGAGATGCTGTCGTGGTCATGTATCATACTGTTTAGTTGTAAACGTAGTTTACTTATCCAAATAGAGAGATAGAGAGAGGAGCATGGTAAACTTACTTAATAGAAAGATATATTATCTTCCATAGAATTTCGTATTAGATATATGGAACCCGAATATATTTTATCGCGAGACTTTTCAGTCCCTGATCAATTTGGTCCTCTGTCAGATATCGAGCGAACACGAATCAGCCTTTTTGCATATGTCACTTCAGCCTTTCTTTAAAATGCCATGTAATATGCAGATACACGCATTTAATTCGATAAGAACATGTTATTTAAGGTAGTTGTATTTTAGCTTGTAGCAAGTGTATAAGATAAAGACTCAAGTAACAGAAATTAAACTTACTCGGATCCCTATGAACACTAGTATCACAATGTGTATTAAACTCATTTACACATGCACATTATAATGTTAAAACCTATTTCCATTTTTGAGGAAATGAATTATAACTGTGTCATATTTCGCTTATTGCAAATTGAAGCTATTTATTTCGGTTATGTTCTGTTATGTGATACTGCTGATATCAGAGAGGCACATGTATACTATCATATATGGCAATTTAAACATAATAATTAAGGGGAAGTAACACAATTACAAGACTGAAATGTTACTAAATAATGTCTTTCTTGATACCATAACAATTTCGACTTTAAAAAAAGCTAAGTAGTTACAAGTCATATTACACTGTATATTACTTCGTACATAGTAACATTTCAATGATATTTAATTGTGACTTAATTGTTTTACAAAGTCCTGGGAGGTGAGATTTTTTTGCTCGTCCATTGGCATCTCCAATAAAAATATTGAAGTGACAATTACAGTTGACTTAGAGCCAAACTAATCCTTGAATATATACTTATTTAGACCTTTATCGTTCCACCAAAGACTTTACTTGACATTAATCTCGTCTGTGCCTCAAGAGAAACGACAAAAACGATTCAAATCAGTACAATGAATACGAATACACGAATACCCTTCTTTTTTCATTTGTGCACTGTATTATCTTCATGGCAAAATCATATCAATGAAAAAGTAAGTTTGATGCACATTTTTTTGTTGTTATTGTTGCTGCTGTTGTGATCGTTTTGGTTGTTATAGTAGTAATGTTTTTGTTCTTTTTTTATAGAGTTTGAATGTTTTTTCGAAGAAGTACCTGAATGCTATTCACGCTATGCCTCACTTCTAAATTATGGAGGAAAACTTGTTTTAGAAGCGGTTTTAAAGCGTGATGGATTAAAGCAATCAAAAGACATTAAAGAATTTCTTCAAAACAATGAAGAAAGACTGAAAGAGTAAATTCCAAACTTGAATGATATGCTTCAAGACATTGACCAGGATACATCACAGCTAAACTTTCATTCATGGGATATCTCTTCAATGTGTTTTACGGTGTTATGTTTATGTAAACTGTCATTTCTTGAAAAGGATGCAATACAAACAATCAAAGATGCACGTGAAAACTATGCTGATATTGCATTGGCGTCATTAGATGCTGGTAAATTCGGTTCGTATTGGGGAGATCTTAAGTCAAGTTTATATACGTTGTCAAGTGGCCAGGACGATGTTGTTCAGATAAAGTGTAAAGCCCTAGTAGAAAAGTATTCTAAGGAATGTTTTGACAAGACTGCCACGAAGAAGTTGCTTGGACAACTTAGCGAGGGAAATGGACAGCTAAAACGTCTGCGAGACACATATAAAGGTAATTCACTGCTTTGTTTACCTAAAAAAATAGAATGATTATGAAGGTTATTTTGCATACTTATTTGAAATGTTATTTTTTTTCTAAATGTTATCTATCAGAATCATGACTACGGTAACTGATAAAAAATACTTGTGTCTTTTTCCGTACACATGGTTATACATATTTGGCATTCCGGGAACTATCAGTACATAAAATTAATGTCTATAGATACAAATATTTTTTTCTGTTTATCAATTGACGATTTTAAAGGGATAATTGATGATTTTATAAGGTTTATTGTAGAAGATAAATATAAACAAATAAATAAATTCTACATATCAGATTGTTTGAATAATACTGTTGTACACAAAAATTAATATTTGTTAACGTTATCGATAATATTTAGAAGTCTTGGACTAAAGACAGTGGGTTACCCGTTCATTTTATTCTAGAAACAAGTAAAAGATTAAAAGAAGTAGCAGAGGACATGGAACGACATGGTATTCCCTTTAAAGAAGAAAAAGGTTTGACAAAACACTAATCTGAATTGTTTTTATTTCTCAGTGTGAAAATATAGTTTGTTTTTATACATTCGAAATACTAATAATGTGTCGATATCTGTTTTATTGGGACACATAATTAAAGCAAAATAAGTCATTTAAATGAACTACTTAACCCTTTACCCCATATATACGCGAAACAACGCACTTTCGACCCCCCCCCCTTTTTTTAGGCCTCAAAGAGTGAAAAAATGTCCTATTTGGGTCCCAAACACATGTTTTCGTTTGAGAAATGTTGCTAAAAAAATTGAGCACTTTTTCGGCGCCGCCCCCCATCCAACAGATACATCAGGGGGTTGCCAGAAGGGGGATGTGCCCCCTTCTGTTAGGGGGGTTTGAAGGGGGGCGGAGTCCCCCTCATCGCCAAGAAAATTTTGGACTTGTGAGAGGCTAAAAATGACCCCAGGTCGATCATATTGTAACGTGTAACCAACGCTGAAAAGCCTTTGACTCTATCTCAATCCCTTGAGAAGTTGCAGCACTTTGAAATAAATTTTGATGGAAAAAATCGAGGCAAAATAGTGATTTTGGGCAATTTTGAGATGCCCCCTCGTTGCCATGGTAACAGGAAATTTAAGACTGAGCATGTCGTTACAAAGGCAATGGTCCAGTCAACATTTGTGCCAAGTTTGATTAGTATTGAAGCATTTTTCATAGTTTCATAGCAGTTTGAACTTGTAACAGGAGGCTTTTCAGCGAAAACGGCCATTTTCCACAATATGCTCATGGGGGAAAGGGTTAAAGCATTTATAGACATAATATCTTTGTTAATCAATCTTATCATCGACAACTTAATATAAAACGCACAACGCAAAGAGGTGACATGCGTTTATGAGTTAAAATAAATGATTACTATAATGATTATTATTATAAAACTTATTATTATTATTATCATTATATTGTGGCAAATTGTCCGATATTTTCTTTAATTTCCAGGCCACGAGCTAAAGGTATTATTCTATTATGCCCCGGAAGGAGGTTTTAAATGGTGTTGTCCGTTCGTCCATCATTTCGAACCCACTTACAATATATGCGCGTCATTCCGTTCATACTTTTGATTATTCAAATACAGTCAGCTTTAGCGGATCGCTATGGGTTTATGTGAAAAACAATGTATATACCTACTTGTGAGGAAATCATGTTCATTTAATATTATCAAAATCAAAACCTGCAATTTTGAGGACTGGCCCTTTGTTACTTCACAAAAAGGGTATTTTTACGAATATTACTATATTGTGCCATATTTTACCACTGATGTATTACACCGTTATAACACACAAAATGAAATTTTACATTTATAGAAATTCTTAGACTTCGCTCTTGGAATAAACGCCATTGAATATCGCCTTGCGCTCTACATCGAATATTTCCTCTCACGTCTTGCCCCTTTGCTCCACTCCTTTTGAAAAAAGCAATAGTAAATTTAAGGAATCCGCCAGGAATATTTTATTGTGCACGACCGACAATATTCAACAAATCGACGTTGACTTCGCCAGGGTGAAAAGGTCTTCCGAGTTTATTAATTTTATTTTATTTTCGTGCACAATAAAATATTCCTGGCGGATTCCTTAAATTTACTTCTACCCGTACAAATGGCTTCATAATTTACACACTTACTAATCTATACAGTCATGATCTGGACATGTAGGATAACTATGGCTTTCATTTATACTAAATTATTACCCTTTTCGGCACTTTGAAAATGATCATGGTTAACCTAAACAAGCAAGTTAGATATTTCTTAAATTCTATATATACTTTTGGCTTCATAATTTTCACAAATGCTTATCAATACAAAGTACATAATATTGCCAAGTTTATAACTGTGCCATCCATTTTTCCCAGTTATTTCCCGTTTTGTCACTTTAAAAATAAGGCCTTGTATGGTTAACCTTACCCGGCTTGTTAAATTTATTTTAATATTCTCCCACTAGTAATTACTTCATTTATTTAAATGATATCTTTCATATTTGGTAGGTGGATAGCTTTAGTGCTCCTCTGTTTTTTTGGAGTTAGGGGTCTCTTGGGTCTCTCGGGTAAGTTCAAGGTGGAGTAAGGGGCCTTTTGGGGTTCTCGGGTCAAGTTCAAGGTCGCTGGTGTAAAAAATTCTAAACGTTTTTGCTCATACAACATTTATTTTGTATGTTGATGTATTTCATGCTTAATACAAACATGACAAGGGATGTCCTTTTACTTTAGGTTTAGTAAGGAGTCATTTAGGTCATGGTTAAGGTCACCAATGTCAAAAAAAAAACGTTTACACTTTTACAGGTCTATTAATCTTATTCCATGACAGATGTCTTTTATATTTGGTAGGAACATAAAATTGAGGTCTTCTCCATTTGGTAGGAACATAAAATTGAGGTCTTCTCTTTTGGGTGTAGATAGGCGTCAGTTGGGCCAAGGTCACAAGTGCTAAAAATAGATTTTTACGCTTTTGTTCATTCAATTTTTATTTATTGACATATGTATATGTTATTTGGTAGGAAGATAACTTGCATAGTATTCTTCCTTTGGATTGAGTAATGGGTCAGTGGATCAAGGTAAAGGGTGCCAAAAATAGATTTTTACTTATTTGCTTATACAGCCTTCATTTATAGACTGGTGTGTTTCATATTTGAAAGGAACATACCTTGGTTAGGCCAGTGCTGGGATTCACAAATTAAATGTCACTTGTACTAACAATAGATTTTTTTACATTTTTGTATTTTTTACCAGTGTCTCATATTTGGATAAAGTTTGGGGTCCCTGCGTTCAAGGTAAAGTCTTGCATTTATATATATTTGATAAAGCTGAATATGTTTCAACTTCATCACAAGTTATAACAATGACTTACTTTGACTCTGACAAATAATTTATCTTTGTTTACATTTTTTGGGGCACATTTTATGTCCATATAACTGAGTGAATGGGTAAACATTTTTTTAAGTTTTGTTATTGACAAGAATCTGAGCCGGGGACATTTGTGTTAACCCATTGCTTCATGAGCATTTTGTGAAAAATGGCTGTTTTCATTGAAAAGTCTCCCGTTACAAGTTCAAATTGCTATAATACTATAAAAACTGCTTCAACACTAATCAAACTTGGCACAAATGTTGACTGGACCATTGTCCTTGCAACAACATGCTCAGACTTAAATTTTCTGTTACCATGGCAACGAGGGGACATCTCAAAATTGCCAAAAATCACTATTTTGCGTTGATTTTTTCCATCAAAATTGATTTCAAAGTGCTGCAACTTATCAATGGATTGAGATAGAGTCAAATGCTTTTCAGCGTTGGTTACACGTTACCTTATGATCAATCTGGGGTCATTTACAGCCTCTCACAATTCCAAAATTTTCTTGGCGATGAGGGGGACTCCGCCCCACTTCAAACCCCCCAAAACAGAAGGGGGCACATCCCCCTTCTGGCAACCCCCTGATGTATCTTTTGGTTGGGGGGCCGCGCCGAAAAAGAGGTCAATTTTTTTAACAACATTTCTCAAACAAAAACAATTGTTTGGGGCCTAAATAAGGCATTTTTTCATCATTTGAGACAACAAAAAAGGGGGGGATGAAAAAGGCGTTAAAAGGCGTGTATATGAAGTAATGGGTTAACTGAAAATGATGAAAATACTTGAAATTACCCTAAATCGCGTTTTTTCATGTTTAAACATGGCCTGTCATATAAATTTGAAGAAAAATTGTTGTTTTGTAGATTTTTTTATTTTTTTCATTAACCCATTGCTTCATGAGCATTTTGTGAAAAATGGCTGTTTTCATTAAAAAGTCTCCCGTTACAAGTTCAAATTGCTATAATACTATAAAAACTGCTTCAACACTAATCAAACTTGGCACAAATGTTGACTGGACCATTGTCCTTGCAACAACATGCTCAGACTTAAATTTTCTGTTACCATGGCAACGAGGGGACATCTCAAAATTGCCAAAAATCACTATTTTGCGTTGATTTTTTCCATCAAAATTGATTTCAAAGTGCTGCAACTTATCAATGGATTGAGATAGAGTCAAATGCTTTTCAGCGTTGGTTACACGTTACCTTATGATCAATCTGGGGTCATTTACAGCCTCTCACAAGTCCAAAATTTTCTTGGCGATGAGGGGGACTCCGCCCACCTTCAAACCTCCCCCCCCCCCAAACAGAAGGGGGCACATCCCCCTTCTGGCAACCCCCTGATGTATCTTTTGGTTGGGGGGCCGCGCCGAAAAAGAGGTCAATTTTTTAACAACATTTCTCAAACAAAAACAATTGTTTGGGGCCTAAATAAGGCATTTTTTCATCATTTGAGACAACAAAAAGGGGGGGGGGTGAAAAAGGCGTTAAAAGGCGTGTATATGAAGTAATGGGTTAAACAAACACGTTTTTTATATATTCATTTCCTTTTATCCAGATTCTGACCACACCCATCATTTTCCAAACCATTAAGCATTTGTAGTGCCTTATATTACATTTATCATTTATGACCTCATGGCATTACACTTGTTATCATAATATTATTTATTTAATCTCAAAAGTAAATAATTTTCAATGTGCTTGACGCTTCTTTGGTGTAGTATCAGTTCAAGTAGAGATATCGAGTTTATTTTCCTTCTAATTGTTTTACTCGTATTGCAAAAATGTTTTATTTTGAGTGAATTGCTATTACGGCTGAGAATATATCAATTAACCAAGACAGCTTGTTATTTCGTAGTGGTGGGGCGGGAAATTGAGAAATTAGTGAAAATGGTGATACAAGCATGAAACTTTCAGGAAATTATCTTTATACCATGTATATTTCAAAAATGAAGTGGGTCCTAAAATATCTCTGCTCATTCAAGATGGCCGTCATTTTCAAACATATGGAAAATATCAAAATAGATATAATGAAGAAACAAATTTTACCAATTCCTTACAGTTCCTTTCGCTGCAATTGAGATTTCTTCTATTTACATGACGTCGTTTAAATGTTAAAATGTATATTAACCATTACCATAAATTATTTGTTTTTGTTCAGGTTTAATAGAGAAAATAAGAATCTCTAAAGAAAGCCAAAAAGGCAAAATTGAAAATGTCGCAGGCTAGGTTTGATTGAGCCTGTTCATGGACGGTACTGTCAAGTGCAAACTACCGTCCACGTCCCCTAGCACCGGCTTTAGCAATATATTTAACATGAACTGGTACAATTTGGAATTTTGAGACATCCACAGATGTGTTCATATGTGTGTTATTATGGAACCTTCAATATGATACGTAAGTGTCATTCCATGAAAAGCGGCGTATGGTCCCCAAGTAAAAGAATGCGTGTGCCCTAAACGAGAAAACGATGTGTAGAACTAAATAAAATGGAATTTTGAAAGGGGATCTGATGTTATGAAGCCTGCATATCACAGATAATACGTCAAACGACAAATTTAAAAAGCAGGCCACATATCCTTAGGGTGATTCAAGTGAGAAATACTGGAACCACCCAGCAAGAAAAAAACACTGATATACAAAATGAATAAATTAAAGTATTTCAATTGAAAGTGTCTATTAAAGGCATTTTTGTGTGGATGTTATTCAGTAACCATATTATTACATTACTATTCTCTACGTAGTAGGTACGTAGTACATACCGGACTTTCGTAGTTAACACATCAAAATTTCCATTTACCAATTCCTCAAGAAGAAGAGATTTCTTAACAATGAAATTGTTTGCTCTTATCTTAAACTAAAACATGATTATTTAGAGACAAGATATTTGACTGTAGTGTTTCAGACACCATTTTGCAAGCTACAGAATGAGGATTTATGGGAGTGAATGAACCTGTTAACAGCTGGTTCAAATTTAACAGGGGTGTTAGTTAACACGCCAGTTACACAGAGCCATCGGTGATTGATCGGTAGTTTTTTTAGCCAAATTATGGAGTGAACCGATGACAACGTATTTAACACCGATATCGCCTATTGGTCACCTGTTTTCCACCTATCAACTGCTATTGGGGAAAGATAAGTTTCATCGGTGAAACATTACCGATTGGGATTTTTAAACACGTTTAAAATTCTCGATCGGTGAAAATGTTTTAAAAATAACCGACGACAACCTATATCACGAGATATGCAAGCTCTTAATCACCGATATCGCCGATCGGACAAAGATAACCAAATATGAATCACCGGCCATATCTGACGGAAAGTGTTTAACCACTGATGACTAGCTATCAAACATCGATTAATCAGCGTTACGCCCGATTTAGCTCCGATTTACAAACGATAAAAACCAAAAGTATTTCAGCATTTAATCATCGACCCATTCCTGTTTGGGTTTGATTTCTGTCACCGATGGCCGTTTACACAGAAAACCAGAAATAAAATCACGCATGACAACCGATCATAACAGCGAGTAAATTGAAAATTAAATGACCGATTGGGGACCGACCGTCTGTGTAACTGGGCCCTAACACTTCTGTTAAAAAGTTTTGAGCAACAGGTTTTTAAGGACTGTGTAGTAACAGTCGGTTAGCTATTTTAATAGACTGTTAATTTAACATGCAGTTAAATTTAACAAAGCTTTGAGAAACTGGCCCGAGATTTAATTTTTTTGTTACATTTTTACAATAAACACATATTGTTAATTGAATATTAAATACACTATAAGAAACTAAGTAACTTTTTGAATTATGAACATAGACCTATTAGAAAGCCATGTTAGAAAAATATGCAAATATCGGCACTTTTTTAACATTTTTAAAGATATTTTTGAAAAGATTTACTTACATTGTGGTTTACATGTAATTTGATTAATCTGATATGTGTTTAAAACTTTTTTTATCGAAATATGCATAATTTGTGCGAAAAATTGTACTGCAAAAGAGTTATATCAGTTTTGCAAATGATTGGTCGCCATATTGGACACCATCTTGAATTCTGAATATAATGGAATGTTTTAAAGATTTTAATTTTTGTAAAGTAGAAACTTAATGCATGCTTTATTGATACTTTCAGATCTTTGCAAAAAATTCACCGAATGAGCTATTATGTACGTTAAATGTATATGGCGGCCATTTTGAAAATGGCGGAAATTTCGAATGAACAGAGATAATTTTGGGCCCACTTCACTTTTGACATTACCATGGCATGAAGATGATATCCTGAAATTTTCACCATTTGCACTATCTTTACTACAGAGACCTTATTTCCCGTCCTATTATAGCCACGATTTAAATCAGGGTTTCCATCGTGTAACTTTAACATGACACTGTCTTCAAGAAAATATACAATCTATTTATAACATAACCGTGTGTATTATATTTTCACAGTAATGACACTAAAAATGATAACTAAGGGAAACAGAGAAGAGAGGCGAAAAGTTGCTGAAGATATATTATATACGGTTTGGCAGAAGGCTTTAGATGTTACAGGTGACTCACAGGAATTCCCGACGGTTGAAAAAGCTGTCAAAAACATCCTTGGTGAAATAAAGGCCATGGATGACGTTAAATTGTCAAATGTGACAAAGCATTGTGTGCTTTTGACGTTTAATTGCACTTCATGTTCTGGGCTCCTTAGCTTAATTGCATACTTTGACAGTATTAAATTCAAAGATCACAAGTTGAAAGTCGACAGAGCATTGACAGAGCATTGCAACGATTATATCCATATAACAGGCTACGTCACACTGGATAGTATGCAATGTCTTATAAACAAAGCAAGTACGTACTCGTACAAGTGAATATTTTCTAGGGAATGTTAATTGTCATACATTCCATGATTAACTTAATTTCTGTTCTTATTATCAATAATTTTAAATAAAGTAGTTTGAATAAATAATAAAGTAACATCCAAATATTCAGGTTTCTTTTACTGTAAAATTTAACCTTATATTAACGTGTCCTATTAGATGCAGAGTATTTGCTGAATAGAAATTTAAAATCTATATATCTATTAAGTCACCATTTGAAAAATCAAAATCTCGAAAGATAAATGTAGTAATGCAGAAATTTAACTTTTTATTTCATAGCAAAATACTGTTTGATCATACATATATTGTCATTTATTTTAACAGACAAAAACGATCAAGTGGATGATTCCAACTGTATTTATCTTCCGATTTCCTGCAAATCCATTTCTGCAGTAAAACACATTCAACAACTATTTGAAGATGGGAATGTATCGAATTTTGAAAATTTAGTATCGTACGCCCTTTCCTCAGAAACTGATGCAGAAATTATCGTTAAATCTGAGTTGGATCTGAAGGGATTAAATTACATGTTTAATCCGTCAGGAAAATCCGGTGACACAACAGATTCCGATCAAACAAAATTTGATGATGATAAATCTACAACAACTTTAAGTAGTCAATATTCCGACACTAGTCAGTTGCCTTCTGAACCAACATATGACTATGTTCAATCTTTATTAGATTTTTTAACACGTAAGCGTGTTGTACATGTGGTTGGAATGAAATATATCGGAAAGTCATATCTAATGAACAAACTATGTTGTGAATTGCAAAGAAGAAATAGGTTTTGTATTTTCAAGAGCTTTGAAAATATTGAAGTACAATCGCCCATGATACAATATCATATCTTTCATGAAGCACTCAATAACTTCGATGAAAATGTAGGCACAGCATATTTCAATGAATGTTTTCCACAGAAACTTTTAATGTGCGGGACTTGTAACAGCTGTAGAGTAGGACTACAATCATTTAGAGCAAATAATTGGAAGTGCTTGAGAAAGGCCGTTACGTTGAAAAAAGCTTTTACTGCATTAACTTTATGTATGAAGATATGCAAGGAAGAGATCACACTGATTCTAGATTCCTCTGATCAAATGTTGAATTGCAATAGTTTCATACACTTTCTCAAGACAACATCTACATTGTGTCCAAATGTAAGGATAGTATTTGCGTCAAGGCGTCATCTTTCTTTCGATTTTGAAGGTTGGGGAAAATTTGAATTGAATCCATTGAGTCAGAAACAAATTACTTCACTATTCTTTAATATCACGGAATGTGAAAAGGATCAGACAAAACGTCTTTTGAGTAGTACAAACAGGGATATCCCCCTGTTACAAGAAAATTTGGTCTTTACTCCCGCAAACAAAGACATTATATTGGCAGTTACATATTTATTCAACGGTTTGCCTATCGTCGCAGTTATTGCAGGTGAGTTACTTCAGTTAATACGTAACTTAATGAAATAAAATTCATTTTACAGATCTGGTAAGTATTTATGTCATTGACTGTATATGGGTTACGATTCCATCGAAGAAAAAGTTCTGATAAGCATCATAATGTCATTTCCAGTCCAGATATAAATGACTTCCTCAACACATCCGCTCCTTAAAAACTTCATGAAGGAATTTGAGTCGGTTCTGGTTAATTACTATCTTGATTTCAATTTGTAATATAATGTTATTTGTTTTTTTTCATTTACCGGTTCTCAATTATTTTCAGGCCAACTTCTCAGAAATAGTTCAATGACACTTGAAGATCTCATCGAAGTTCTCATTCAAGCTCGACTGGAATGTTTAGTCAATGAGCTTACAGAAAGATATCAGCAGGAAAACGAGAACATGAAATATGGTGGTAAGTTTTTTTGTTTGAGGGTTGGTTGGATGGTTCGTTGGTTTTTACGTCGATTTTGGCACTTGTTTTATCAAGTTATCTGCGGTCGGCTCACCTTATCGGCTTTCTAAAACTAACATATAATTTTCAATTTCTGCTGAAGTGACCGACAACTTATTCCACATCAATATTGAATTTGCGTTTAGATGTAAATGATCCGATTTGGATAAATGTCATTGATCAACTTTCGCTTCTCCGGAGGATTGTATATTTGTATAGTTTCTTGTTTTGGAATTCTTTTCTTAAATATAAAACACTATTAAGTATACACTATGATAATCGTTGAAGGTATCTCTAGAACATTGAACAAACTCTATGTTTGATTGAAACTGGTATTTAAATGATAGACAGGCAGGGGCATTTGTATATTTATGATGTGTCAGTGTCGTTATATTTTTTCTGATCCTTTGGAATCATCAAGTACTTTTAAGTGTTAAAAAATGAGTATCACTCATGCCGGTACTAGGAGGCGTGCGTATATGGCATTTTTCATTATTCCTCATGTACAGACTAAATCAAACCGAATCTGCAATGTTCGTGTAATTTTGTTGTGATTAATACTTCCGACGGATCATCCTTTTTCAAGATTCAAGATTTTATTTAAAACAGTTCATGAGTAATACAAATGAACATGTAAAATCTAGCTATACCGAAAAAGTAAAATGAAAGTTAAGTTAAAAAACGATTAGGTAGAGGTTTTACTTTTTTCATTTTACATTGTAAAATTATCCGTTTAAAATACAATGTCGGGCATTAATACAAATAAGATCTGGTCAACATCGCCAGACACTACTTGATTTTAGAGTTATTTTACGTTTAGAGAAAAGTAAGCTAACCTAATTATTCAGCTTAATAGTGTCTATTCATCAACAAAAATGATTCATGTAACAAACGTTATTCACAGTGAAAATTACTAGAAGTATTAGAATCTTACACTCCATAGGACAATGGTCAAATATCTTACACCACTTAAATAGTCGTTATTTTAACTATGCTTGATGGACCATTTATACTTTTCAGTTTTGTAAAAGGTGCAATTCTAATTGGTTATAACAGCTAACCATGAGTAAAACAAAAGTGTGGTATTAAAGGAATAAATTTTTATTCAATTTTTTCAAGTACTAAAATAATTTATAGACGATATAATAATTTTCAGCACAATAACGTCTAATGTTTTATATAGATTAATTGGTCATTAAAGCTTTTGAATAAAAATACATTAAACAAGATCAACAAGGAAGAGCGGTGTTAAGTGAATTAAACCGACAATAGAATATTGTTTGTATTTTTTTTTCAATTAGTCAATTAATAAACGTAAAAACGTATGTTTGATATCAAGTGCCTTTATTCTATAAATGTTTTAGACCAAGCAAGATGTGATTACAATGACCCGATGAATTTACTGATTCATGCATATAAAGAATCTGTCAACTACACGGGAAAGAGTGTCGTAAGCTTTCAGTACAGTTATCAGGAAATGGAAGAAGCAGCCGCTTTCCTTTTAACAGGTTTAATACTTACATTTTATATTTAAACTATTGTTTTCTGATATAAATATATTTTCTTTATACATGTACTATGAAATGCAATTCAACCTCAGAACATCACTTTTAACCATTATGTATCGCTGTTTAAACATATTCTTAATGTTTGCTCACAGACATTAGCACAATCCTGTTCCAAAAATCATTTTCTTCTGGTTCTTTTGAATCTAAAAAGAAGCCTATGTATGTCCTATGTAAAAGAAAAATGACAGCACATGTCCAGATAATTACCGGCTTCTATCATTAATTTCTATCCTTTGCAAAAATCTTTAATGATTGTCGCTTCCCATCTGTCTTCACGCTTCAGTGATATCAATATTATTTCTGACATTCAATATGGATTGAGAGAGAAAGGTTCATGCGAAACACAGCTAACCTTACCCTCATATGAAACCCGTGTTGGTATTGCATTTGGACGCAAAGGTCACAGTTATTAAAAATAGTAAAATGGTTTCTGGACAATAACTTGAGTTAGCAATGAGATATTGTAATCAAACTTGGTGTAATGCAAGCTTATATAAAGACCCTGGTTGGTATTGCATTTGGAACCCTCGGGTTAAGGTCAAGGTCACAATAACTAAAAATAAAAAAATGGTTTCCGGACAATTACTAGAGTAAGGAATGAGATATTGTAATCAAACTTGGTGTATTGCAAGCCTATGTGAAGATCATGGTCGGTATTGCATTTGGACCCCCTGGGGTCAAGGTCACAGTAAATAAGAATAGAAAAAATGTTTCTAAACAATAACTAGATTTAGGAATTAGATATTGTAATCAAATTTGGGGTAAAGCAAGCTTATATGAAGACCCCGGTTGTTATTGCATTTGTACCCCTTCAAGTTCAAGGTCACCATAACTAAAAATATATAAATGGTTTCCAGACAATAGCTTAAGTTAGGAATGAGATATTGTAATCAAATGTAGTAAAAAGCAAGCTTATATAAAGATCCTGGTTAGTATTGCATTTGGAATGACAATGTCACAGTAACTAAAAATAGAAAAAAAAGTTTCCGGACAATTACTAGAGTTAGCAATGAGATATTGTAATCAAACTTGGTGTAAAGCAAGATTATATGAAGACGCCGGTTGGTATTGCATTTGGACCCCCTGGGGTCAAGGTCACCATAACTTAACAAAGAAAATATTTTCTGGACAATGACTAGAGTTAGGAATGAGATATTGTTAATTTGTGATCAAACTTGGTGTATTGCAATCTTATATAAAGACCCCGGTTAGGATTGCAATAAATTGAAATAATTCTTTGTACACAGATGATACTTTATATACTGTAGGTTGAGTGCAAATATTTCTTCAGACTACTTATTTTTCAAAAGTCAAAGTTGCTGGTGGGGGTGTTAATCGCCTTCAGTGATAGGTCTAGTTTGTTTGAGTTTTCCGTCACACCAACACAGTATAGGTCAAATGGCGACCTTCCATCTTTACTGGTGCATTAACCCAGCAGGTAAACAGACCAATCTCATTTTTCTTGACCTAAAGCACAGTCTTTGATAAAATTCTTAGTAAAACACCTGAAGATACTCCTTACTCTTCAAGAAAAATTGTTGTCTCACACTAGATACTTAACTCAATTCCTAACTAACACTAAATTCTAATGTTCTCCAAGGCTCTGTTACCCTTCTCTGCTTTCCCATTTCCCTTTTCTGTCGTCTCCAAGTCAAAACTTCGCCTCATTGCAGATACCACTGTGGTCTAACATCAGTATAATATTTTCTCTGACTATCAATATAAGCAGGATGGTCTCAATAAGATGCAATCTGAGTAAGAGAATGTGACACGGAATTCAACCGCACAATATGCTAAGTTCTTTGCATGACAGAAAAACATACCAAACAAAAACAGCATTATTTTCCTCTATGGCCAAGCCTTAACATCAGTTTCATTCTCAAAATACATTGTCTAACAGATTTAACTAAATTAAAATACACATATTTCATATATTTCATCTAATGCAAGCAAAACCCTTGGGTTAATCAGGGTCTTTGAAAGACCCTGGATTAATCAAACGGAATATAAAAAAGTAACTAGCTTATAAATCATTTGTGCCACCCAGCCAGCTTGAGTATGCGTCCACTGTTTGGAACCCTATACAGAGTCAAACATCAAATAGAAATGGTCCAGAGACCATTGTCACCGTTTACAGTCATGTAGGAAGATATAAGCTGGTGTCGCAGATAAGACTGCAGACTTATTAGTAATACGTTTGTTTTCGTAGATTCCCAGAAACATTGATACCCTGCCTACCTGACAATTTTCTACAGGATGTGGTTAAGATAAATATAAGTTGACTTCTGGGATTTTTTCCTGCATTCCTACTAACAAAAATACTTTACAACGATTTTTACGATTTGAAGTTTTCAAAACTTTTAACTTCGTCTATTACCAGATAGTTACACACCCGACTTGCACTATTCCTGCCTATTAATAAATACACATTTATAGAGAGTCTGTCTAAAGCATAATACTGTACTAAAATCAATATACAAACACATTATTAAATTTACTTATTCATTATCCCTCATGTACAGACTCAATCAAACCGAGTCTGCAATTCTTATGTAATTTTGTTGTGATTAATTCTTCCGACGGATCAGTTTGTTCCCTGATTTTTATACTTCACAACAGCAGGTGTCAAGTGCTGTGTGGCAGCTGTAAAAAGGAGCCCCGTACTTCACTTCAGTGTTGTTATATCTTTCTGGTCCTTCGGGATCATTGATGCCAGCACTATTAAGTGTTGAGAATTGATTACCTCTCAAGGCGGTGCTAGCTGGCGTGAGGGATGTTGCACCTCATGTACAGACTCAATTAAACCGAGTCTGCAAATCTTATGTAATTTTGTTGTGATTAATACTTCCGAGGGATCAGTTTGTTTCCAGAATTTTATACTTCACATCAGAAGGTGTCAAGTGCTGTGTGGCAGCTGTAAAAAGTTGCCCAGTACTTCACTTCAGTGTTGTAATATTTTTCTGGTCCTTCGGGATCATTGATGCCAGCACTATTAAGTGTTGAGAATTGAGTACTGCTCAAGCCGGAGCTAGGGGCGTGAGGGATGTTGCACTTATTCATTATCCCTCATGTACAGACTCAATCAAACCGAGTCTGCAATTCTTATGTAATTTTGTTGTGATTAATGCTTCCGAGGGATCACTTTGTTTCCAGATTTTTGTATATTTAATGCTATAAAAAATATAAAAAGCGACACGGATAAATTAAACAGCAAAACAATGTTGGATTTTATTTTAATTGTCCAAGCTTGGTGGCTAGGAACTTGTGAGAGAATTAACAAGTAGTACATCCTCGTTGACCAATGTTCATGCTTTGTAAAAATATTGAATCTATAATGTAACACAATTTGGCAATTTTCTTATATATACATCTTTCAGTAAGTAAATATCAGATTTCAAGGTAGAAACTCAACAGATCCAGCTAAAACCATAATTGAAATATGCGCTTTTTATATTGTAGAGTTACAAAGTGAAACGACTGGTTATGGGCATGTTTCTAGTAATTTATCGGAACCGGATTTGACCTATACTTCACCCACATCTGGAACAATCCACAAAGAATGTGCATCTGGTGTTCAAATTGAACATGATACTTGGACAACTGAACATGATGCCAACAATCAACGAATGAGATATGGGATGCACTTAAACGATCAAGATAATATTGTACCTAAAAACGTTAAAATGACCAAACATCCCAGGAAAACATTTGATCAAACGTCTCAGGCTGTGTCACATAAAGCAGTTCCTAACTTGGGTCTCACTCAAAGAAATATAAAACGTTTCAAATTTGGTAGATTGTTATTGAAATCATTGAAAACCCATTTTAAAAGCAAACTTAAAACAATCTTGTATTAAAATTGTGTACCATAGTCACGCCATGGCTGATTTTAAATTGATTAATAATCTTTTTAAATTTTTTGATACTCAATTATCAAAGTATCAATTATCAAAGCTAAAACTTATGTAACAATATAATATTAAATCTAACTTTTTAACGTATCTTTAAATACATGTTATTTACATTGAAACTGAAGCAAGTACATTTTGACATTTTAAATTGTCTAAGAATCATATGGTTTTAATTGTACTGATTGATATTTTGATTTCATCAATTGACTTGAGATTATAGCTTATTCAATATTTAATGTTATACTCGTAGTAATTATGTCGTTTCATAACAACAAGTAATAAAGAAATGTTAATAAAGATCTAACATATGATACAAATAAAATACAGATGTGAAAACTATTATACATAACTTGGATTCTTTTGTTGACATTTACGATCTTGTATATACTTATGCTCCCTTCGCAGCTCACTGAATACACTCACGTTACTTCAAAGTGAGCGATAGTGAAACATTCGACCGATGCGCAGGAGAATAGTATATACTTATCCCCTTTTTATTATTCTTAAGATTTTTTTACTATTACGATCCTTGGCTCTGAACGTTTTTGAAAGTCGAATAGGAAACCCGCTATAACTATGTGTAAATTGTTACTTTGCATATATACTTTTGCATGGACCGGGTTTCTTAAATTTAGTATTGTGTTGTCTTATAATATTTGCATTATAAAATGATCTCTGTTATGAAAATTACGAGTATGAAAATTACAATACTGACAGACTTTAGTATGGACAATAATGAAATATCGTTTCATTTCATGATGTAATTATTCGTTCAATTAAGTTTAAAAGTCAAAATATTTTAATATTAATGATCAACGTTTAGAAAACAAATTAATTTTGATCAAACGATACAAATTATCATTTCAGATAACACATGAAATTTCTATTGCACACTTCACTTTATGATCTTGTTTATCATCCTTCACTTTATGATCTTGTTTATCATCCTCATGTAGTATTTCTTTGTAGATGAGCTCCAATTGATGCATTGGTGAATCGCAATCACCTTAAAGAAGAAATATGATAATAACTTATAAAATTCGGCATGATTGTCAAAAAAAATGTGATTAAAGTTGATTGCCATTATTTTTTACGCCACACAACGGTTTTTTGTGTTAATTGCTTATGCTCATCATAGCTTTCTTAATTATTGGTTGGCACATGTATAACGCTTCGAGTTCCCTCAAAGGCACATAAAGCTAAATGAATAAACTATGAATTGCAATTTGGTTGAATTTGTTCAGGAAAACAATGAACAAAATAACAACCACTTGTAACGATCAAATCTGTACCTAAAATAATGTAGAGTATAACATAAGTATGCGTCCTTCCTGATATAACATGACTTAATTGATTGACTGTATTGCAAATGCCGGGAAAAATTAGTAATTTTCAAAAAGATTGTATGAAAGTGGAACAAATGGTCAGGAAAAGACGGCATGCTATTTACAACCACCTTTACTTTACACTTTGTCGTTTTAAGGTAGTAAGCTGTGATCAGTAGTATCACGAGTCGTAACTGAAGACATACATTGCTTATTACTTACCGGTTTTCCTGTTAATAGACTATCACCAGGTTGATGCACTTTTGATCTTATCGTTTTAATCATCTCCATCAGTTCAGCGGGAGTCAAAAGCCCACAATCCTCTGTGAGTAATGAACCTTAAATGTATTATCATTATATCATTTTGTTAAACTTCATGTTTTGATAAAAGTATGACTTTTCATTCATTAATTCTGAAAATATGTCTAATCTTTTTGACCATAAATGTATTTATTTGCATTTTGAAACATGAAGTTCTCTTTCCTGTCTTATTTTATTAAGCGGGATAATAAAATGCTATAAATTAACGAAACCATGGTAATTGATTAATACATTATCTATAATCATACCTGCTAATATTGCAGCTCCAGGATGGCCGTTACATAAGCTCGCTATCTCTTCCATACATTCTCTATTCTCTGGAGTAAAATATTCATTTTCCTTTTTAAATAGATGAGCGTATGTTTCTTGTTCACTATAGCAACTATCTTCTTTATGTTCCCACTCCTGGGTAGATTCGCCCACAGATTCATTCGGAGTTTCAGTCATGAGATAAATTATTTGCAAAATATGAATTTTCTCTAGTGGACCAAGACAAATTCTTTCGAATGATTTGTGAACGCTGATAATGTCGCATGGACAAAATACAATGCTTACATTTGAACAATTTTTGCTGATATCATCGATTAAATGTGAAAATGATTCTTTCAAATCTGATTCAATAAGCTTATCGATATTGTCAAAGAAAAAATTATCTTTTATTACAAGAATGTAGGTTTTCTGTTAGGCAGTTTATCGCTTGGTCTATGTATTCTCTTCTATGAAGACACAGCTTTCCTTGAACACAATTAGTGCATGCACCACAAGCAATACTTTCATCAGGAAATTTACTGATGAAGTCAGCTAATCCTTCATGACAGCCAGATAGAGTAAACATATCACGGAACCATTTATAATGTTGGCATGGTGATAAAGTATTATCCATTTCAAAATCTTTAAAAATACACAGAGTTCCGGAATCGCGCTCACTCCGATATAGTTCAGCAAGAAATCTTGATTTTCCAATTCTTTTCATCCCGTGTAGTCTTAATGTTTTCTGTTGATTCAATAATAGTCCTACGCGTTTTAATTCGTCATCACGTCCTACAAACTTTATGTCGAGAGTATCACCACTAAACTTGCTCGAACCTGTTCCCATTTTATAAACAATTAAAATGAGAATAATGTATTATAAATATTTTCTCTTAAGATATGGACATGTTTTCTGTTTTACAGATAACATATCTGTAAATATGACCTGTCGTGTTTATACCCTGAATAGTTTGCGTTTGATTTTTTCTTTTATCAAACCTGAGCAAATATTAGATAAGATACATTATATAATACATTTTTATAACACAGTCGTTTAATTTTATTTCGAATGAGTAATAAAGAGTGGACAGAAATAGTTTTGCTATCCGCTATAAAGTGGTCATAATGTTTGACTTTCCGCCATGAAATCATGTTCAGTATATATTCTCTCTCTGGTGTACCAAAAACATTCATTCGAATAAATTTTGAATGCTGAAGATGCCGACAAAATATAAAGATTACATTATACATGTTATAAGTTTCAAAGAACACCTAACTTTGCAAAATTGAAAACTCAATTTTGTATTCTTATCTTAAATGGTACTGATTACTCCTGTAATGTTTTATTGAAATCCCAACAGCAGTTTTGCCTGTAAATGCAGAAATAGATTTTCCTATTTATAGCTCTGGTTGTCATTTTGTGCAGCGAAGCGGAACGTGCCTGCTATAGGCACAAGTAGGGAAGGTGCTGATCACTTCTGTCAAGTTTAGTTGAAATCCTGTTAGCAATTCGACCTTTGAAAGGAGATCAAGCTTAACGCGGACGGACGAACGGACAAACAAGCGGCAAAGGCAAAAATAGTGTACTTCCCAAAAATTTTGGGTAACATAATAATAAAGTATAAGAGAGAAGGTCAGATATTATGAAGCCTGTGTATCATAGACAATTGTCAAAAGGCAAAAAATAGGAATCATAATTCTTTGTAGTATTTAGACAACCAAACAAGAAAAATATAATAACCTTTAATAAGGTAGCGGGAAAGCTACTTCACATGAAAAAATTAAAGTATTTGAAGGGTTCGAACCAATGGAATTACCTCGCTTTGATGTTAATTCTAATGTCTCTAAAGCATTGTAAAGCAAGTAACTGCTTCGATTTTTAAGCAAAATGATTTTGAGATTACCTCTCTTTAACGTGTATAAGAAAAAAAACTTTTCATTCTCATTTAAGGCAAACTCACAAATACTATATTTTATCCCATAAAAAGAAAATTCCTTTGTGTCATCATATAACGTTCTTTAAACATGGCTAAACAAAATAATATTTAGCTCTTAAATACTTTGACGTCATTTCGAAGCGCAGACTACTGGTGGCTACAGGATCTTCCTAAGTGACCAGCGCTGATCAAGATCAGCCGTCTGATAATAACCACCACTTTTCGCTATTCGAACAGTACATATTTAGAAATGTTTCCATAAATTGATGAATAAGTATGTCCAGAATGAAAGATGGATTAGTCATTTTAAGATATTTAGCAGACAATAGGTTTTTAAAAAAACAACAACTCATATTAAATCATATACATAGTTCATTAACATTCTTGAACATGACAAATAAAATTGAAAACAGATTTGAAACTGAAACTAATTAATCAACGATTAACATATATTCATTTAATTGTTTTACTTTTAATCTTTCATCATTGGACAGACCACACATAAATATATATTTAAAGAAAATAAATGATATTAAAATAACAATTTACCTAAAGCATGAATCTAAAATGTAAATTTCAATTGTCACAATATAGAAATATCATTTCTCCACATGGAAGGAAATAGATATTATATTGGGTAGCTGAATTTCAAGAATTTGTAATACGAAATAAGGTAATTTTAAGGTTAAGTATACTTTGAATAGAATGGACACAATATAATAGGATACAAACTTTGTCAAAAACGATTTATAGATGTTTATGGTTATTCATGTAAGATGTGCATATTTTTATGTTAGGTTACACGTCGCACCAACAGAGTATAGGTCATATGGTGACTTTCCATGGTTACTGGTGAAGGAAGACCTCAGGTGCCTTCCGTGAATTACTTCAGGGCACCTGAGTAGAATCACCGATGAAAGTAAAAGTAAAAGAATGCAAAGTCCCTGACTGATGAAGGGCAAGTGGTTTGATTTCAATGACCTTAACCACTGGACCACAGACGCCCTGGAAGTACAGATAGTACTTACTGAAGAAAACTTTAAATTAGGTTGTTTAATGACCGGGCAGATAATGTCATTCTATGACATTTATCCTAATATCTTTTTGAAAAAGATAATAATAAAATAATATGAATATGAATATGTTTGGTTACTGAACTTATTCATTGCTAAGATGAAGAAATAAAATTCTTTGAGATCAGGTACAACACTACTCTGTTAAGCCTTATGTTACAATGACATGGAAGTATAACCAATATGAAGGTATAAAAAGTTTGTTCAGGTGAATTAAGATAGAATAACAACCCATTTTAAAGCTACATGAACAGCATCAATAAAGCGAAAAGCAAAGTACATGTAAATATATGAACGTATTTATGAACAATCAGTGAATTTATGAGATGCAGAAAAAAAAACTTTTCAAGAGCATGGTGTATCTTTCTATTATTATTTCAGTTGTCAAACAATCAACTATTTTTCTGCAATTTGTAATTCTTTCTCTTTTTTTGTATTGTTTGTTTCTTTTTTTCCATTAAGGCAGTTATTGTCATTTACATAATACGTACAAATAAATATGTTGCTAATGGCAATCCTTTTGAAAAGTGAAAAACACATATACAATTACTTATGTATATTGATATGCATAAAAATATTACTAACAAAAAAGTCTTTAAATTGAACACTGTCATTAAATGGCAAGAAGAATATGTGAAAAGTGAAAAATTTACATAATGTCACAATAGTGATAATAATAAATGTAATTGTGTCATACAAAGCTACCTAACCTATATATTGTTATAGTGCAATAATTTCTGTCAAATCGCAACGTTCAGTTCAACTTCATACAAGTTCACCTGCTAACAATGCAATAAATGATCATAATTCACTTAACTTCTTAGACCGCAATAATAGGAATACAAAATAATTTACATGAGATTCCAGTGTGAGTATATATAACATTTACATCCACACATACTTAAATACTAAGTGAAATAATATCTAGGATATATTACCTAATGTACTATTCTAAAGGTTTGTATATAGTCATGTTATATAGATACATCATGTATAACGCATGAAATGGATAAATATAGAAAATTTCAACACGATTTACATTATTCCACAATCCAACAGGACAGACAAATGCTTAAATACACAATATATAAACGCTATTTTTAAAAAAAAATGCTTGTACGTCATGTGACGTCATATACGACGTATGGCGTCAATTAAAATCACGTCGGGTAAAACACTTACATTCTGTATAAAGTTAAACTAATTATGAGGAGAATGTAAATATTGAGACAGAACAATTTCTTGTAAAAATGATTACTCGATGTCTGACAACAACAAAACAAAACATTTTGCCTATGTACAACTATGCTTAAAAACTAAGTATTCATTATTTTCACCATAATATCCAAGAAATGTTTTGGCTATAATGACACATGGTGGCAATTTTTAAAATATCGGAATATATTGTAAAAGTGCGTCGTTTGAATTTCAATTTTATTAACTTTACAGCATAACATATAACAACATATTCTAAAGAGTTTACATGATAACATTTCCTCGTATCAAACTCACTGTCCAGGCAATTTACATTTCTTGCACCAATTGATTACTCAGAAAAGACCAGAAAGACACACCCTTTTATAATCCTTAACGTACGCTCATGCGTATATAACCTTGATAACGAGGAAAATTACTACAAAAGAATGATTTTACATGACGAACTATTGAAACTAAAAGATGACTTGTTTCGTCAAAACTTACATAATACTGACAATACTTGTACATGTACATGTTACTCTATTAAAATATTGTATTCAAAGTATAAAATAACACACAAAGTAAGGCAGTGAATAATAATATAAATATATACACAGAAAGAGGAATGTTTTTAAGTATAAGATTTTAAGACAATGGTTATCAATTAATATTCACAGCAAATTGACAATTGATGTACGTGAATCCCTGCATATTCATCTGAATGGTGTCACGCTCCGAACTGGTCTGTCAGACTGGGTTTGTTTATTGACGTTTGGAGGAGAATTTCTTCTAGGCATAGGTTTAACTATTGCTGTAGGAGAAAGTCTTTGTGATAAAATTTCTACCAACAGTCTGTTTTTATGTTCATGACTAACATTCTGTGAACTGTCACCATCAACACTCATTTGATCATGCTTATTATATGATTGAGCTAAAGATGCATTTTCATCTTGACTATGTTTCTGATCAAATTTGAGATCATTTTCGGTATTGACCCTATAAGATATAGCCGCTGGTCCTACAGTTGAATCGTCATAGATCCCAGCACTTACTTCATCTGGCGTTTTAAGTTCTTGATGTACTTTGAGATATTTAATCTGCCCATCCGCATTTGTTGATGTTACCTCTGAAATATGACTGCCAAATAGTCCAGTTTTAGAATTATGACGATTAAACATCTGTGGACTTTTGTCGACATTTGGTGGACTATATTTCTTAGCTGCTGGACCTGTAGGACAATCAGTTGTAGGATCTGACTTGGTGCGACATACACCATTTCTGAATCGCTGGCTATCTGTAACTTGATGTGCATCCTCTCTTCCAGCTTGTTTAAGTTGGAGAACATTCATTACATTGTGAGATTGTGACAAAGAATTTGATCAAATTGTGGCGGTACGAATTTTTTGCAGGTGGTACTGATCATTTTGATTATTATTTTGATGGTGCATCTAGTTATTTGGGATATCTTCGGTAGAAGAATGATAGCTCGGAGGTGGAGAATAAATAGGCTCAAACAAGTTTTTATTCATATCATTTTCCTTATTAAAACCTGATGCTCCTGATGTTTCCAGTGGAAGAGTTGTATAGGGAGGAGGATTATCTGCAATTTGTTCAGTACCTGGTATGTTTGCTCCATGAGTATCTTTCAATGAATTTTCGGAAGTTGTACAGTAAATCATTTCGAATTCTAGTTCATTATCTTCTGAAACTGAATATCGAGATTCTAACTTCTTTGAACATTTAGAATCCATGTCTGGATTTGTTTCTAAATCTATGTCAACTTCTTTGTCTTTGACGTCTTTCACCACAGTACTTTTAAGGTCGCCCATAAACTCCTTCAAAAATACATACACTTTGATAAGATTTTTAGTTCAGCACAAATATTAAAACATAAAAATTAACTTTGACAAATATTCTTAACTTTTGGGGGTTTTTTATATAAAAAGGGATCATCAATTAATTTAAACAGTAATGCTATAAAGGCCGTTAAAAGAAAATAATTGCAAATTGGCCCTTACTCGGCAGCAATTAGTGTAGCCACTTTTCATGAAGAGACCAGTGCTGATAGTGATAATTGTGATTGGCAGTTTTTTATCGGGCGATGTTAGGTGTTTGATTACACATTAATGTTTTATATCCTTTTAACTCTAAGAAGATGTATGTTATAATTAAATTGCTGACTGTTTATATTTTCTAGAAAAAAGCAAGCAAAACATAATTTTGTTTCATATGACAGGAATGAACTGCATTAACAATCCTAGATATTATATGAAGATGTGAATACAATGATTACATTAATTACATTGCTACGAGTAGGAAATGTCAGAATAGGTAACTGGACCCCATCCACCTGTAGATCTTAGGAAGTGTGTTTGTTAGTGATTGCTGGGAAAAACAATGTGATGCTTAATAACAGAGGTGACACTTCCTGTTTTTTTTTTCATCTGATATTTATTACAGAAAAATTATTAAAGAAAAATCAAAATAACAAATTATGTGTACAAATACCTGAAGTACAAATAAAAATGTAAAAATCAAATGTCTAGTCTGATCCTGGAATGATCCCTTTTTGAAAAGCACAGTTAAATCCAAGTTAAATCCAAGAACACTTTAGAATAAATTCCAACAATAAAATCCACAAGAATAATTTAATCTATCATAAAATCCAAGCTCCAATAAATCACTTAATATCCAAGTTGAATAATACTCCAAATAACTTGAAAGGTAACTGATGACTTAAAAGATAACTGATGACTTAAAAAGTAAAAGAAATGAAAAATATCCCGTAATATATATATAAACTAGGAACATTCCAGAAAAGTCTATTATGTTCTAAAGTATTCATAATCTAGCACTTTCAACAATCAAAGAATAATCTGGAAATTTCTATCTAAATATAATGCACGAATCATAATCTAGAATTTTCTACAACAGTTAAAAAAGTTGTAGTACATACATGTAGTTTATGTTCTAAAAATAGAACAGTGATAATACTATATACATATAATATGTTGCATACATAACAAGCCAATTTGCACTTATATGGGTAAGAGTTTGGTAATACTTCCTACGGTCGTCTCACTAGAAACTCTTACCAATAAAAAAAATTTTTACAACAATACAATGGTATGTTAAACTAACAAACCCAAAATAAACAAAACTGCGACAGAAGTATAAAATATGCAGAACGGCTAAATGACAAACTACTTTGAAAAGGAAAATGACATCCATGTCGGAATTATTTAAACAAAGGTAATGTTTACATGAACCAGGAATAGAACTACCTTACCTGTATGTAAATATATACTTTAGTTTAACTCTTTATTACCAAAAATGTCAGAATAACTATAACTAGATTAAAGAAACCAAATAACTAGTCAAGTCTTGATTTAGTGACTTGTTTAAAAGAACTTATACAGCATACCTTACTAGCCAAATAATGCTCGTCAGAAATAGATAACTGTCTCTTCACGTCTTGGGCTTGCACTAAAAAAGAGAGTGATAAATGTTCATCACATGAAGAAGTAAGAATTATCAGATGTCTGAGACTTGTATTATAACTACCGGATAGGCTATGCATTTCGAGGGGTCTTCCTTTACTAGAATTTAAGACCTTTGTAGATGATTGATAAAACATTTTCACACATTCTCTATAAGGACAATTATGTTTTATGTTTTCAATAATGGTCAAATATTTCTTCCGATAACGTATCTAACAACTTGGAAAATGATATTGCAAGATAAAAAGACAGACTGTAATAAAGCACATGCAACAATACAACTGTAGATCGTTTTTATGGAAGCATCTTAACACGGCTTTTAATTTTGTATAGTCCCTATTGATCTTATTAATTTTATTCATTGAGTCAGTATGTTGTCAGACATTTAGGCAATTGGATAATTTTATTCCAAGAACAATTAATAATCGAAATAAAACATCTATATTTCAATGGTTGTGACAGTGACCGTTTCAATATAATAAAATTCTGGATATGTGGAGTTCCCTCGAAAGCAGACCAGAAATTAAAACAACATATGAAGTTAAACAATGAATTATCACTTTTTGTAATTAGTTTATCGTCATAAAATAATTGTTAACTAATGATTACTACCGCAAAACATATTCTAATGCTCATGATCTTCATGAACGATATATGGTAATACCGTCATTGATAAGAACGAGACAAAAGTTGTTATAAATGAAATAACTCCATAAATTGATAATAACCATCAATTTTAAAAATTATGTTGATAAACAAACAAATGGTATAATAGAATCTTAAATTTTAGATAAACATAATTTGCTTGTATTATTGAAAACTAAATTGTTACTTGTTTTTAGTAGTCTTTAAATTTGCATGAATATCAATAGATAGTAAAACATTCAATGCCCAAAAATCATAAGGATAAGTTTAATACAAAATTTTTATCAGTAGAAAAAGTTTAGCTTATAAGATATAAAGTGATCATATCCAGTAACAAGTAAACAAATGTTTCAATACCTGGTGAGTGGATGGAGAGACTTTTGATTGCCTGCTCTAGAGACTTAGGATCCTGCAGTATGTCATCATCAAAATCTAGACCAGCCTTGATAACGTTTTCTTTCATAAACTTGAGAACCATTTCTTTCGTTTGTGATACTGACTCATCTGTTTGAAATATTAAGTACATGTATTGCTTCAATGACGAAGACAGTCATTGCGATATTTAGCTCAGTTTGGTATGTTTTATTATAAACCTTAACTTTTACTTTGACAGTATCAGTAAGCGTTTGTTTTGAAAATGGATATTATGTAAATTGGTTTATTGATAATTTATTAATCATTTGTTTATATTTGCAGTATCTTTAAAATAAAAAGTAATAAATATATGATTATAAAATCTAATAGTTGCAATAAATACAACTTAACTTAGATTATACATCGAAATGATGTATTATTTATATAGGATTACCAACGTGTCGACACAAGTTATTTAAATATCTAATCTTGAAGGTTACTTTTATAGTTGTAACTTGTATTGTTTTATTTAAAGCCTACCTGATGGTAAAGTGTTTAAAATTAGAAGGTCAGCTTGAGATTCTCGTAATATCCCATGCCAAATTAACTGATGATGTCCTGAAAGCTTCTCTATAGATAGTATTGACCTGTCCAAACATTTCTTCAATACCTTAAGTTTTGCCATTGCTTCTGTATCTATATTTGAAGAACATTTATTTATTAGATATTATAGAAAAAATATGACCCCCCCCCCCGATTATGCGTATGTTTTAGCGAAGTATCATTAATTTGTTCCACAATAGTGATTTGTGTATTTTACAGATAAAACATAATCGATTGTGGAATGATATTTAACTTCCATATGCAAAGATATATTTACATGCTTAGGAAGACAGTAATATTGTTTTCTTTCTATTTTTAACATTAAAAACAGATTACCATTAAACCATTCATATCAAAGACTTTTAGAGTATTTCGTATTTGCATACCAATGCTTTCTTGAGCATTAATTGCCACAGAAACCGCCGTATCTATACTTAATGTTGTGCCGTCGAGTCCCTTATTCAAGGAATTGAAGAATGATGCCACACCTTTCACTTCGTCCATTGGTCGTTTATAAATATCTACAAAAGCATGGTATTGTTGGCTTTATATCGTTTATTTTTTTCATTAAATTTCATAATTCAATAATCTTACTTACAATAATAATACAACAAATGTAATCGACTTACATTTTTGTACTTTCGAAAATGGTGTTATTTTGTATGGTTTTTAAAAAAATTAAAATGAGGAAGTAGAATGGAGTAAGAAAATAATTCACTTATTTCTGTCTTACAATCCATACAAGAGGATGTATATACATGTGCACATATTCAGTAATCAAAATTATTATACTGTTAATATAAACAAAATTTATTTGTGATATTTCATACTGAGTCTATCTTCCGGAGGGCAGTTGTCCGGGCTTAGACCAGCCAGTCGCATACATATAAGAATTTCAACTAAATCTCCTGGTGTTAACAATCCATCATCCTCTGTCAACAACATTCCTAAAGTAAATAAAATACATAAAGTTCACCAGAATCTGAACAAAAGAGAGATTTTTATGCAAAGCAAAAGTTTTCAAACATAAGATTGAGTCTGATTGTTTTAAATTATTTTTAATTATTCCATAGCTTTCAAAAGATCTGCTCTTTACAAATTTACACAATCACTTCATTTTATTTTATTTTATTTACCATTTTAATAATCGTTGGATATTTTCTAAGATCTGTGACACGTTGAATTACAGTTTGTGCGATGTCAATTTACAGATAAATAAGAAATGAAGCATTGCAGCATGCACATGGTTTGAAATTAATACATTTTATTATACAAAAAATTAATTCAAGATATTGAATTAATGGCCTTAATTATTTATTTGTAGTCTTTCCATTTTTCAAACACAGCTAATATTGTCAATAATAATCATTAAACAGTCATTATTTAATTCCTAGTTTCACAATTTCATCCGGCCATACTTAATTTAAACACTGGTGTTCTTTATCAATTGAAAGAATAGAACTTTATGTGCTTGATTGTAATAAAATGCTTGCATGTTAGAGAGAGTTTACCTGACATGATAGCTGCCAATGGAAGCCCTTCACACAATTTCACAATGGCGTCTAAATACGGTTCGTTCTTAGGCTTAAAAACCAAACATTCAGATAAATATGTTACTTTTTTTAAAGCCTCCTCATTGTTTTCTGGGCACAGTTCTCTGCACTCACATGTTTCATAAAGTATTTTGCGAATAGCTTCATCATTCAAAGGCTTTAGTTCATATGATTCAAAAACTTTCGCTGTAAGTTTTGGTTTAATGCATGATGCAATGACTGTGCGTAACTTTGTCTGTTTCACTGATTGTTGTAGAAAATGAAGGAAATTGTCTTTCAATGAGCTATTCATAACTTTGTCAATATTGTCAAAAAATAAAACAATTTCCTTCCCAACTTTTTTCAACGTAGCGATAATAGTATTTATTGCTGTCTTTATCATTTTGTCCTTCTGCAAACATAAGTCTGGCCCAGGATTTTTGCATTTGTCACAAGTGCCACATACGTTAAATTTCGATGAAAATTTCTTTTCAAATCGAGACTTTTCTTCAACAGCATCAATTTCCGTGAGAAACTCAATGAACCATTCATACACGTCGTCTCCGTCGTCGATATCATCTAGCTCAAAATCCTTCCAAATGCAATTTTTATTGTCTTTTAATAGTGTGTATATCTGTTTGATAAATTTCGTCTTACCTATTTTTGTCAATCCAAAAATGAGGATTGACTTTTTCTCTAGCATTACTTTCTTTATATGTTTAATGTCTTCCTCTCGTCCAACAAATGTCCATTCCTGGGCATTTTGGACAGAATCACTTTCCCCCATGTTTGCCAAATATGAATTTTCGATAGTTGTAAATATAATCAGCCTCGACCTGATCACGTCATTGTACGAAACAGGTGTCGCTCGATGTGATTTATCAGAGGTCTCGCAAAGTAAATATTGGCCTAGTAGGTTTCATAGATGCATCCTGGAAAATAAATATATAAATTTATATTCAAGTTAAAACCTTGAGTAGTTTAATAAATTTAAGGAACCCTACAGAGGTTCTTTGTTACATGATGTGACGAGAAATCCTTTTTCAACATTAATATTCCATTTCATGTAGGTTCCGACCAATTATTAGGCTGCAAAATGTAAAATTATTTACTATATACATTATCAGCATGTTTGAGATGATCCTACAAAAATGGATGTCAGTATTAATTAGGTTGGTAATATATATATTCTTTTTCTTATTTACTTGTTAGAATAATGACCTTTATTGTGTTTGACATAATAACTTTTACTACACTAGGTATTCACCTAACAATGGCCAAACAATGGGAGTCAGCTAAGTGATTTTTATACAGATCATCATTTAAGTTACTTCATCTATTTAAACGTGTATGGAAAACAGATAATAATCTTTCTCCAATAAAATAATATGTAGGAATTTGTGTATGTTTAAATTTATCCTAAGTTTCGTTTGGAACACATTAAAAGAAGATGAGTCACGTAAATCATAATCAAGACTATTCCGTGCCAGATTTGCTGAGGGAATAAATGGTCTATACAATGTTTCTGCTCTTCTTTCTATTGTTATTAATTATTATTATTTGTAAAGCTTTTATTGGCTACTTTCTGTTTGAATGTCCAGGAATAATGTAAGCTCCAGATAACTTGGAACCTCCCACATTTTTAGCTTTATGCATAATTGATAATTCTTGCATTAAATGGCGATCAGCTAAAGAGACCCGTCCTATTTCGTTCACAAGTCTTTTTATAGAAAACGAACGGGTTACACCAGTTATTAAGCGCGCAGCTTTGTATTGATTTTTTTCATATGAGGTTCAGCTGTCCAAAATGACAATGACATACACTTATAAAGACCTAATGTAGTAAATATAAATTTGATTTAATGTTGTTTTATATTATTTCAACTTTGATAAATGCATAGAACCTAAAATCTTTGAGACTGAGTTAGTTGTATTAATAATATGTTTTAACCAAGCTCAATCGTCACTTAAGGTTAAATACAGATGCTTGCGGTGTTGGGTGAAATTATGATGAACATTTTTAAAATTCAAGCAGGGTCTTTCATTTTTAATACGAGAACAAAATAAAACTTCAGTCTTATTAGGATTAAAGGTTACAAGTCATTGGTTTGTCCATTCAGTAGTAGTTTAAATTTAAGATCTAAATCATACATTTTGAATATTCGCTTGCTACTAAGCTATCATCTACAAAGAGAAGAGTCAAACTAATTAAATTTTCAGCGATGTCATTGACGTCAATAGAACAATGCGAAGATGGCTAAGCACTGATGACTGAAACACCATCGTTTATGAAATTTGTTTCAGAAAAAGAAAAACCAACAAAAACTTTTGATTTCTTAAGTTAAGAAAGCTAGCAATCCAAGTATTCAAATTACTTGAAATGCCGTACTGGTGCATTGTAAACAAAAACAAAAGACTTTTATGCCAAACATGGTCAAATGCTTTAAAAATATCACAGAACACTATACACGTTGATTTCTTTTCATCAAAATACAAATTTGATGATAAATGTCAATTAATTGATAAAGCGGAGAACACCCTGAAATACTTCTTGAGTGATATATATTTATAAGATTGTAAATATGTAAATGGTTATAAAGGTATTTGAATATTATTCTTTCCATAACTTGTCCGATACAATTTATCAAAGAAAATGGTAAGATCGTGCTCCTCTTTTTTAATGATAGAATACGCTTATGCTTTTCCAACATTTGGGATATAAAGGTGATCGTTTGGAAGAAGGTGCTCCACTGAGGTCTGACAGGTAATTTGGTGTCCAAAAAAATGTAAACAAATTTCCACACATATCACAATATTATAACTAAAATAGCAATACCTTATATTTTAACCAACCCTTTAACGACAATTACGCTAGAAAATGCATTTTCCACATTAGCTTTTGATGCAAAAAAAATGAAAGTTGGTTTTCCCAGACATGCACAGAAGTTACTTATGACTTTAATACGCAACGGAGATTTTTGGGGCAACGGAGTAAACGTGACAAAATGTCTATTGATTTTTCTCAATACTCTTAACCTATCGTGTTTATATAACTTGAGTAATCATTAAAGCTATTCAAAGTAGCAATTTTATTGTCTTGAATTGGACATTTTCTAGACAAAACGAAGATATTATATAAAATTGTTTTCTTTGAAATTTTTAAAACACTGTAAGTTTAGTTATACCTAATATATTCAGCCAAAAGTGAAAAAAGTGAAAAACCTGTTATTCGATAAAAAGTTTTTTTCGATGTATATTGAAAAGTTTCGATTTCGTTTTTAAGGAATTGGACGAAGATGAACATAGTACATCGGTGATATTTATACTATAACGAACACAATGTAATCACACTATTTAATGTATTTATCTATTACGTATATAAATCAAATACAGTTTATGGCATTCCATCCTGAAATGATCATTTTAAAAGCATGTCTCATTTGATTTGATTTTCTGTTTTGGTGGTGGGCTCAGGGGGTTACGTCGCACAAAAACAGTGTAGGTCATTATGGCGACTCTTCAGTTTTACTGGTGGAGAAAGAACTCAAGTGCCCGCTTTGCAAAATTGTTTCTGGTACAAACGGGCATCTGGGAACAATGAGTGACGTTTCGTAGGCTATCTTGATAGGATCGTACATACTAGTTCCAAACACACTCATTTCTGATCATTTCATCAAATTAAAGTGTTCTTCTCTCATTATGTATGTTATGTTATGAAATTGCATCGAAACACGAGGATATCTAATTTGTACGAGGGGCGTACAAATTGATGTTAAATACACGGCAAAATTAAATACACGTTCCCTGTTGTTGCAATGTGAAACCCCAGAAAAAAGTAACCAATGAACCAGCTTCTGAATGTGGCATTTCTATTCCTTTCTCTGTCGTTACAAAAAGTAAACCCCAGAAAAAAAGTAAATCAATGGGCATGCTCTGGAGTGCGGGTATCTAATACATGCACCCCAGTTAACTCACTGTGTATGTACGTGAATACGATTTAACTCTGACACGTTTTCAACAGACAGGTCTCCAAACAATGATAAATAAATGTTTATGATTCTATTAGAAACTTGTTTAGAATTTAATGATTTTTCGGTGAAAATGATATAGTTTAGTTGTACAACAGATAAGATGAAAGTGCCGAAGGCACTGTAAAAGAACAGATGAACTTTGATAAACACATTTTCACTCCAGTTTCACAGGTAAATGAATTCTATATGTCAGGTTTTACGTCTTAATATCAGTATACCTTTGCTTTTTTTAGGGGCAAATAATTTAAAAAATAGCATCCCCGATTTCTCTTTTATAAATTTGCTTTATCAAATTCTTTTCTATTCAAATATTTGAAATCTTCCTAGGTATAAATACGAAGGTAGTAGGAAGAAAATGATGTCTGTTCATATGATCATGACAGTGAAAAATCATGTTTTGTGAACCTAGTTACTCTGTCGATAAAGATTTTGCAAACAATTTACTTTTAGTGCTAATGATTTGTATTAAATTCCAAATAAAAAACTTCTTATGGGACCTTTAACGTTTGATTACGGTATAATCACTATAACCGAAATACATATGAATTAATTGTAATGCCTGTAAATGTGATATTCTTCGTTCGTGTGTTTAAAAACTAAAGAAAGTAGCTCTATAAATTGTCAAAAAACGATATCCAGTATTTCCGAAACAATTTACAAAGACTTTTAAAATATGATAAATAAGATCAACAATTTAAATACACTATCTCATAAATTTTCATATTACGAGTACCACCCACCTTATCTCCAGAACATACATATGAAAAACAAGATCAAGAAGGAATAGTAGCATTCAATGAAGGCAACGCACACACGACCAAGCAACACAAGGCCACAGCTAAGTTATCAATGAAAAAAAATACTTTCAGGATTTCAAGTAACAAATAACAAGAAACAGACACCAGAAAGATAGAAAGAAGAGATAACAGTAGTGTTATAAAAGAAAGACGGAAAAAGTAAAGAAGTAAAGATTTCAGTGCTATAAAGCAGGAAAAGAAGGGTTCTCCTCCTAATTTATTTATGCAATCAAATGCACACGATCAATATTTATCCATTGCATTTTTGTAACTGGTCATTCTTGCCTTAACAAGATAGTCGGGAAATGACCTTTGAAGATTTTTATCAATTTTTTTACAAAACTATTAACAATGAGTATGTCAAGATAAAACAGGCTATAAGGAGTAAAATAGAGAATACAGAATCCCTAAAGAAAGCCCAGAATTTAAAGGCATCCGCAGATGTGTTCATACGGCGATTATCATGGAACCTTCAATGTGACACTAGTGCAATTCCATGAAAAGCGGCGTACTTTGGGACCATACGCCGCTTTTCGTGGAATGACACTACTGTGTCACATTGAAGGTTCCATGATAATTGTCGTACGAACACATCTGCGGATGTTTCTAAATTCAAAATTTCACAATTTTTGTGTTCTGTTTAAGCCGGTGCTAGAGGGTGTGGACGGTATCTTGCATTTTCCAGTTCCGTCCATAAACAGGCCCAATCAAACCGAGCCTGCAACATTTTACAATTTTGCCGTGTTGGGCTTTCTTTAGGGATTCTGTTTTTCTCTATTCTATTAAATATATCTTAATTCTTAAAGTTTAGTTACTTTTACTTACCTGCCCTTCACATTTGTCTTGCAAGTATCGTGATTTTGTTTGTTCGTTGAATTTGAAAGAATGTTTGGGCTTAAAGAACAAAAACTATATAATCAATTTTATGTTTATTTCACTAGTCATGGCAATAGGCCTGATTTGGAAGCTTTAGTGTGTCGGGGCTGCGTCTTGTGAACGTTGCTGTCGCCTTGTGATTCCAGTCATCTTTTTTTACTCTTATCCCGCTTTCAATTTCTTTTCCACCGGGAAGCTTCAATATATCGGTAACATTAAAGCAG